TCCAACTGGGCTTGTCGTCTTAGGACCGCAGTCAAAAGATCCGCTCAGCAGAGTGTCGATGGAGGCGACAATCGGTGCGCCGGTGGCTCGAGAGATGCGCTCTAAAACATGCTTGAACAGACAGGGGCTTTGTAATGCGCCAAGAAAAGCAGAAAAAAAGACATTTAGCATCTACCCCGAAAATGCAACTCACCCGTTTGATGTTGCAAAATAGGCATATGCCTGTCTTGATAAACATGTCCAGAGCTGTGTTTGAAATAGAGCCCTCAACAAAAAGAAGCGTCGGACGGAATGCTAGGATCTTGCCCACACAGTTTACCAAGTATTCCTCCTCCTACAATGATAACGAAACAATAAGAAAGCTTTGTCCAAAAGTAAAATTGTAATAAAAAGTAGGTTGGCATAAAGCAGAAAACAAAAGAGAATCGAAAATGCACGCGAATAGGGGAACTACTTATGCGAAGAAGATATTGAAATGATGAATACCTGCATACTGTGAGCCTCCAGTGAAGTCATGCGGAAGAGGTTTCGTTCATATGAGATAGAAGAGGCAATTATGAGTATTCGAGGCTGGCGCAACTCTGTCGGGAGAAACTTATTAATAGCCTGACCAGTAAAGGCTACGCCATCCAGAATCTCGCACGGTTCGTCAGCAGTTTGAATGACCTACAAAAAAGGAGATAAAATAGTCCATGGATCCTGCAGACAAGTCAAATAATTTTGCAGAAACATTAAACAATTACTCATATTAAACCGGAAGATAGAAGTTGCTTTAGCATGCACAAATGTGATCACATTTTCGCCAGGAGGCTTTTTAAGCTTGCTAAGTGTTCTTCTGACATTTACTACAATAAACTTTGCGATGTGTTGCAAGCCAAGTATTAAAATACTGTAAATAACTTCCGTGCTCACAAAGAGGGAAAGGGAGGTCGTTAGGGATCTACCGCCTTTTTACACATTCAGAAGATCCAGAAGTAGAAGATGCGATCGCTGGAACAAGAACTTTATTTGCCTGACGTTTCGGATCCTGTCGAGAACCCTTCATCAGAGGTAACCGTAGAATAGGGTGATAAATGCACAAATAAGGGTGATACATGCACAGATTACGCAATATTTATAGTTCTAAGTGGCCATGCGACCGCATGCGCACTATAATTATCGATTCTTGTGACCACCTCTGGGGGTTTTAATTGGTGCGGTGACGGCTTAACAGTCCGCTTCCGAGTTCTCGAGGGTTCTTGACAGAATCCGAAACGTCGGGCAAATAAAGCCCTTGTTCCAGCGATTGCATCTTCTGCTTTTAAACTGCTTTCTGGCACTCGCTTATTCGCTTCTATCGGCATTCAGAAAATTCCTTTCGGTACCTTATATGATGAATAATGAGGGTAGATATTTACAAGTAAAAGAGGGCTTTTGATCTTTAAATTGTGGCGGAATTGATGGGTTAATATGCCTATGCGGCTGGGGGGAACTACTCCATCCAGCAGGCAAGGTCACTGTGAAGGAAGTAGATCAGATATAATGAACGGGAGCTATGTGTACAGCTTTCGAAAAGCAAGATGCTAAAGAAGGCAGGAGGTATATGCTTGACATGTCCAAAAACGCGACTATGGCTTAGCTGAGGTCAAGTAAGGAGGACTGCCATGCTTTAGCGGTAGGCCTGTTAGTTAGCGAGCTTGTCGCAGCCATTGGGACGCCGGAAAAAAGTGACGGACACTGGAGTGGAAAAGACAAGGGAAGTTCGAATGGCCATTTAGGGCTTTTAGTCAACAGCTTTGTTCTATAAATAATCTCGGGTGCTGCGCCAGCCGAGACTCGAACCTGACAGGGATGTACAGTCCTGCAAGTCCTGCAAACAACTTTCATGACGAAATTTAACTTGGTATTTTGGCATATAGTTGGATAGGTTATTTTGATCAACTGAGTGGATTTAATAATAAGAAATGCTTTAGTTTGGAAAACTGCCATTTTAGTTAAAGTAATCAAGGGAAATAAGCACTCATTTTGGCTAAATCATGAGTATGTTTATATTAAAGAAATTTCGTATGCTATAAGGCACGACAGAACCAAACGTTTTACTAATATATATTGTGCTGTGGAAGAATTCTATAAGTAGTAAAAAAAAAGGAATAATAATCCCCTCCAGAACTGGAAAAAAATTGTATGAAGTTGATCAAATGGAAGTGAAGCCAAGTTTAAAGAATCGTCTTTTTGCAGAAAGAAGCATGAATTGAAGTTTTAAAAATTATGTTTAGCTATTCTGTGAAGTTTTTTTCACAAAATGCGGTAACAAAAAAGTTTTTGGTAGAACAGTTTCTTTTACCGCACAGCTGGCCTTGCGCGTAAGCAAAGTGTCCATATGTTACCGCAAAGGCAATCCATAGAAGGCCTTATTAAATGTAAGTCATGTACAAATATAGTTTTTTGTAAACAATAGGTTCCGCTCAGGCGTTATTTAGAAACGGAACAGACAGAAGAATAATAAGTATTTCAAAAAACGGTCATATATGTAGCAGGTTTTTTTTGCATTCGCAAGCTCATTATGTACCGTGGAATGAATCCCCTTAAGCGGCAAATAATCTGTTATAAAGAAAAAAGTATGTTCTTTCATCTCCAGTCAAATTTTATTGTTTTTCTTCGGGTTAATTAAAGAGATTGTCAAAATTGTCCAATTTCACTGTGACATTACCTTGGAAAAAGTTAATATACACAGAAGTTTGTTGGCTAAATATCCAATAAAAGCACTTTTTAAAGAGGTAACCTATTATGTAAAGATCTTAGGAATAACAATATTCGTGGTATCTAGCAGACATTTTGTATGCTCGACAATGTGGTTTGCTGTTTTGAAGAGTTTCCAAATTTGACCTACATGGCCATCTAATATCCAAAAGCTCGTTTTTCGGTAAATGCTGTTTAGTTATATCTTATT